GCAGCACCAGGAGCACCACTCCGAAGACTGCAGCGCCGTGTGTACCACTCGCGGATCTGCTGAATGGGGGGGAGCTCCTGGGTAGGAGGGGAAGTACCGGGACGAGCTCCAGCAGCACCTCTCCGGAGGCGGCAGTACTCGAGGTACCTCTCCTGCAGCTGCTGGGAGGAGAGGGCTCCTCCAGGTGTAGCACGCTCAGGCTCAGCACCCCCAGACGCAGCACCCCCAGACCCAGCACCCCCAGGCTCAGCACCTCCAGGCTCCGCACCTCCTGGCTCAGCACCCCCAGGCTCCGCACCCCCAGACTCAGCACTCCCAGGCTCAGCACCCCCAGACGCAGCACCCCCAGGCTCAGCACCCCCAGACGCAGCACCCCGAGCAGGACGAGAGTCTACAGCTACCTCGACAGGCTCACCCGGGTCTACCTGGGACACACCTGAGGGAGCGGCACCCTGAGGGGGGAGGGGGTCTGGTACCTCAGCACCTGGAGCGAGGAAGAGAGGCGGGGGGGGGAGCGGGGCAGTGCGGTAGGGGAAGAGACGGTAGTAGGGGACGGACTCGTCAAAAGTGACGTCCTGAGAGGCCAGGACACGCCGCGAGGTGGGGTGGTAGAACTGCCAACCAGGGGCGTCCGGGACAAAGCCAAGGAAGACGCAGGGGACAGCGCGACGGGAGAGCTTGTCCGCGGACGTGTCGCGGACAAAAGCTCGGGATCCCCAGACCCGAAAACGCGACGCATCGCCAGCCTCTCCCGTCCAACGCAGTGTCGGAGAAGTCTCGGGCAAGGAGACACGGGGCCAGAGGTTGAGCTGATGCGCAGCGTATCGGACTGCAAACGGCCACAGAAAATGGGGGGCAGCCGCATGGCTCAAGGAGGTACGAGCGACCTCCATGACCAGACCAATGCGGCGCTCAGCAACCCCATTCTGCTGTGGAGAGTCCGGAAGCGTGTACGACTGCGCAATGCCCTCCTGCTGACAGAAGGCCTCCAATAGGCCAGAGGAGAACTCCCCACCTCTGTCAGAGTGCAGACGCAGGACAGGGAAGTCGGAGCGGAAACGCTCACGGAGCTGGAGACGAGATCTGCGGATCCAAGGGATCAAGACATCAGGGACGTCACCCTTGGCGCGCAAGGGGAAGACCGTGGTGTAGCGCGAGAAGTCGTCAACAACAATCAGGAAGTACCTCTCCTGACCCTGACCACGGACGCGGGCTGGGCCCCACACGTCCATGTGGAGCGTTTGCAAGGGAGCAGTCGTCGGGGGAAAGGAGGAGGAGTGAGGAGCGGCGCGCTGCCGTCCCTCGACACAGGGAATACAGGGAGGAGCAGGCGAGTCGGGAAGGGGAGGGAGCACCCTGGGAAGACCAGCAACAAGGTCCCGCTTGTGCATGGCCCGAAGGCGCTGCACAGACGGGTGACCAAGGCGGTGGTGCCAAAGGACAGTCTCATGCGCCAGAGAGCGACACGAGCAGGGGGCGGACAGCTGACCTGACACAGACGCAGACGCAGACGCAGACGCAGCTACCTGAGGGGACACAGTGGTCAGTGTGTAAAGGTCCGACCCCGGCTCCCGAGTGAAGGTAGCCAGGTGGCGACCCGTCCGAGCACACGTGCAGTGTGTCACGCGCTCGTAGGCGGGGGTGAACTGGTGAACACCCCCGTCCTGGAGCGCACTACCTGCCACCAAGTTCGTAGAGAACGAGGGGAGGTAGAGACCTGACAGCGTGCCGGACGGGACCGCCGGACAAGGAAGGACAGTGGAGGAGGTCGCAATGACCGGACCCCCAGAGGGGTCAGCAAGGGAGACAGCAACTGGCCGAGCAAGTGGCTCAAGGACAGTGCGGTCACGAAAGAAGGAGCGAGAAGCACCTGAGTCCAGTGTGAAGGTGTGCAGTGTTGCAGTCGACTCAGTACCAGGGGGCACGGACGCACGAGCACCTAGAGCAGCGGCCTCACCAGGACCTGTGGGAGCAGACGCACTAGCACCTAGAGCGGCAACCGGACGGGCCTGAATGCCCGGGTCGGGCGGAACACGCAAGTACTGAGCACCCTCTCCACTAATAGACATCGCATACATGGCAGTGAGAATAGCATCAAAGTCTAAAGCCCAAATATCAACACCCCTCTTTTCCAGATCAGCCCAGCGCGGCAGCTCAGTGGCAGCAGGAAACTGAGTGCGCCACGCGTCGTTAAGGCGCGCGAAGCAGCGCTGCGTGGGGTGCGGCCTCCCACACTGCTGGCCGCTGCGGTCACCTGTGCGAATGACGTACGTGCAGGTAACGCTACGCTGCGCATACCACTCACGGGCGGCCTGAAGCGTCGGGGCGGGCTGCTGACTCTGCCCTCCGCCAGTGCCTCCACGACCACCACCCCCACCGCCGCCGCCCCGGCCACCTCCACCCCTGCCGCCGCCACGACCACCTCCGCCTCCGCTGCCGCCTCCACCACCACTCCCACCGCTGCTGTCTCCTCCCCCACTGCCGCCACTAGTCTCCCCAGCCGCGCCTCCACTCCCACCGCCTCCACCCCCACCTCCTCCGCCGCCACCCCCACCCCGGCCGCCCTTGTTCCTGCGGCGCCCGCTCGAAGCAGACGCGGTCCCGACCTTCTCAGCACCAAGAAGGTCGACAGCAGCAGCAGAGGCGACAGAGGGGAGGAGGGGGGAAGGGGAACACCCCTCAAAGAACGGGGTGCGGGGGTCGCCACGAGAGGTGCCTACAGCGACTATGCTCGCCTCGGCTGCAAGCAGTTCCTTCTCGAGGAGGGCAACAGTGAGCTCAGTGGGGGAGCGAGAGAGGAAGTGGTCCCTGACTGCGCGCAGAGAGTCAGG